GAACTGAGCTGGGTTCAAGAGGATGAAAAGGAAAAATAAAGATTCCTTACCTAGAGTGCTTTACGCTGTTTTCTCTTCCTTCTGTTTTCTCGTTTAAGCCTAGAAACGACTTATTATACCCTAAGGTGGTATAATGGTCCCATTTTACAAACGGGAAAAATCGAGGCTCAGAAGGGTCATGGGCTGACTTGTCCAAGGTGCTAAGTACTGTATGGTGAAGCAGAGCCTTGGGTTCCTTCCTGCCTTTAGATTCTAAGGCCTGTGTGCTCTCCACTGTGCCACACTGCCTCCCAGGGAGCAGGATCTAGCAGGGCAGAGAGGACAAGGAAGGGCATTCTGGGTGGGGGAACTGCACAAGCAAAGTCTTAGAGACTGAAATGTACATATAAAGGCTACGAGGAAAGGAGCTGGTCTGATTAATATCCATATTGTAGTAGCCTTGGAGGAAGGTCGTTCCCACCCCCTTGATCCGTCCCTACCATGTCACAGTGGAATAATAGTCTCCCTCTAGAAGGAATCCAGGCCTGGAAGCAAACCCCATGTGGAAGTGGCTGCCTGTCTAGGCCTTTTAGAGTCAACAGGAGTCATGTGAGAGGCACACACAGGAGACTGGGAGCCAGAGGGTTGCACAGGGCAGGAAGGACACTGTTGGTCAGAGACCCAGGCCACGAAAGGCTGCTCTGTTATGTCCCAGATAGGCCGGCAGCCAAGAGAGCATCGGACAGCTAGAGATGCCCACAGACAGTGCTGCCCCAGGCCAGCCACCGCTGCCTCCTGTTCCATCTCAGCTTCAGAGTGGCATTAGGGAAAGATGGGCTGTCTGTCCAGTTCACCAGACATTTAATAAGCAGCTCCTATGTACCAGAAGTAGGTACCCAGTCTCCCATACATGACAACTGGGGTATTTTTAAATCTGCCCACGGAATCTTCGGTACTCCTCCCTTCAAAAGAAGGAGCCTCATTCCGTTGAATGTGGGATGTCCTTAGTGATGTTTTTCCTAGTCAGTAGAACGTAGCGGAAGTGACAATGTATGACTCCCAAAGCTAGGTCGTAAAAGCCATTGTTCTGTCTGCCTCTCTTTCTCTTGAATTGCTCGCTCTGGGGAAAGGCGGCCAGCTTCAAGGCACTCGTGCAACCAGGGAGAGGCCACCCTGAGGCACACAGCCCCTCCTGCCAAGCCAGCATCAGCTCTGCAGCCGCGTGAGGGATCCGTGGGAAGCCACTGCTCCTCCTCCCGGGCTCCGCCAGCCCCAGCCAGGCCTTCAGATGAAAGTATCCCTGACCAACATCTGAACTACAACCTGATGAGAAATCTCGAGCCAGCACCACCCAGCTAAGCTGCGTCCAAATTTCTGACCCAGAAACCATAGATAGTTATCGCTGTTTTAAACCACTAAGTCTTAACGTAACCTGTCAAGCAGCAATAACTAACACAGGACAGTACAGAGTGTCAGGACCCATTGAAAATGGGCCTTTTTGACTCCATCTAAGGAACGTATCAGCACAGCATCACAGTGATGATACAGAAAAACCTGCATCCGAAAGGTTTTGCAAATCATGAGCAGTTTTGCTGAAGATTCTCTGGAAGGGGGAGGAGTGAGGTGGGAATTACATCTCACAGCAGAGACCCAAACTCCTTAAAAATCTTCTTTAACCCCCACTTCCCTCTAGAAAATGCTCTCTAGGTGGGTCTGCTTTGTCCAGAGCTCCAGCCCACCTGTGTCACGCTTGCACAATGCTTCCATCGAACTAGGTTTTTTTGCCCAGTGCACAGGAAGCCAAAACATTGAGACACGGAGGGTTTGCAGCAAAGAGCGGGTTTATTTGCGAGGCAGCCAATCAAGGAGACAGGAGGAGAAATCTCAAATGTGCCCACCTGAAGGCAAGGGCCTCGGGGGTATTTATGGGATAAAGAATAAAGAAGCAGGGCAGTCTCAGGCGTGGGGAGCGTGGGGGAAAGGTGATTGGAAAAAGGTGCGATGATCTTTGTTCCGTGCAGGCGTAACTAAACTCTATGCCTCCACAGGTGCGAAAGTTCATCAAGGACGCTCGCGCATGCCCAGTTGAAGGGTCGGGGATCCCTTCCGGTCTTAACCTGCTCAGCTTGAACTAGGCAACTGACCCCGAGTTCCTGGGAAACGATTGGGGCAAACGTCTTACCCTTTAGGCTACATGCCGCTTGGAGGACAGGCGAGTCTTAAAACGACTTGGATTAGTGAAGGCAAGTGAAGTGGATTGAACCACGGTTTCAGTAGCACCGTCCCAATGTTCCTCCCTGCCTGTTACCCGCGGCCAGTACAACAGAGGCATCACCAAGCAGGACCAACACCCAGGAAGGTGGGGACGGCTGTGATCCTTCAATACGTTGGCCCCGTCACTGCAGCAAGAGCAGTAGCAGACAATCGTGCAAGGTCAGTGCAAATCCGGGGAAAGCGTGCCTGCAGGCTGGAGGTCACTGAGCTTCACGGAGGGATGAGTGAGGGCTGAGATGTGAAAGACGCCAGGAGGCGGAGAGAGCATCCTGGTTGAGACCTTAGGTTGTGCAATGCCACAGAGGCACGGCAACGCGAGGGAGGGCGGCGTGCTTGGGGAATTGTGCCTCGCGGCTCTTGCGCCTAAAGAGGGAGAGAGCTCCAGGGTCCAGAGGACTCTGGCCAAACTCCTCCGGGGTTGGAGGGTTGGGGGTGGAGGTTGAGACTCCCGGGGCAACTCGAGCTTGCCCGAACCTTGGACTGTTCTTGTATTGGAAAACAGCCTGGTTTGGCTTTCACTTGGATAACTAAGTGATTACTCCTCTGTATGTAGGGTCAGGACTCTTAAACTGTAATGGTTAAATTCTGATTCCTGGGCCCCACCGCCCAGAGGTTCTGAGTCCTCAGAGCTGAGGCAGAGCCTGGGAATCTGCCTCATAACAAGGGTCCCAGGGGCTTCCGCTGCAGGTGGCCCTCACATTTCAGCAGCTTCCTGAACTGTCTTGGTGCTGAGAATCACCTGGGAAGTTGTGAAAAACACCGATCCCTCCCCTGGAGATTGTGGGCCAGCGAGCTGGCCTAGGGCAGTGATTCTCAAAGTGTGATCCCAGGAGCACAGGCACCCGGCACACCCGGGGGTTTGTTACACTTGCGCAGTCAGGTCCCACAGTAGGGCTGCTGAATCGGAATCTCGAGGGCCAGGGCCCAGGCCCCCCATTTGTTTGAACAAGCTCTCCAGGTGAGTCTGCTGTCTGCTAATGTGATAGTCATAGCCTAGAATTTGAATTGCTTAACGATTACAGCAGGTGATTGGTAGCACTGGACAAGGTCGGGAAGCCTTGCATCACTGAGGACACAACCAGCTCCTGTTGCCCAAGGTTCCCCGAAGGCCTGGATTCTCCCCAGCTTGCCTCTCTGGTCCTCTCCAGAAAAAAAGGTGTCCAGGAAACCGTCAGTATTTCCCCTTTACAAGCAGGTAATTTTCAGAAGAGCTGGGGAGCAGATAATTAAAAACCCCACCTCAACCTGCACACTCATCCACTCCTCCACACCCGGCCTCCATGGCTCCCCTGGGAAGAAGTGGAGGCCATGGAGAAACTTCCAGAATCCAAAATTTACCAAGAATGAGTCTGGGTCAGCAGGGGTCACTTCCTTTTATTAATTCATTCCTGCCAGCTGACATCTCATTTTCTGGAAGCCAACCTGCGGAGCCCAGCTCCCCCGCCCCTCCTTCCTCCCTGCCGGGGAAGAGCATCCCTGCTAAGAATAACAAGGAGAACTGAGCAGGCGCTGGGCTCACCAGTCATCAGAAAAAGGAGCCGCCCCCTTTGCTCCCCTTTCAACCCATTTTTAAATTCTGGGGCAAACTCATTGTCTCAGGACTGACAGGGAAGGGAGGTTCGTGGCCTCTCGGCCTTGTGCTCCCAGAACTGTGGTTCCAGAGGACCCTCTCTCCTTTCCCTGCCTCATAGGGTACCTGAAACCCCACCGTCACTGTAGCAGTCTACACACACACACACACACACACGCTTTATTCAATCAAATTTATTTATTGAGCATGTTCTTGTGCCAGGTAGCGTGCTAGGAGATGAGGATGCTTGCAATTACATCTGACCTGAAAAAATGCCTTAAACCTTAGCAGACAGAGCTTCACCCTAGAGCTTCATTAGAGCTTCCCAACGGTGGAGGAGATCTTGTAGGTGGAGGGATGGGACTTCGGGAGCGTGCAGGGCGAGGGTGAGGGAGGGCATTGGGAAAAGAACTTGTCTGACTTCAACTTAGACACCCGTTTATTGAGCAGTTAATGTGTCCCAAGAACTTCACTGGGGCCTCAAGAGAGGTAATCCATAGTGTGCCTGTGAATCCTGGGTCTTCAGGGGTGTATCACCCGGGGGAGATCTCCTGCTTTTCTGAGAGGCATTGCAGTGTTGAGGGCAGAACCCGTGTGTGTGGTCACAAGAATGGAATACTGGTCTGGCAGGTTGTCTGGTTAGCTGTGATCTTGGGGAGGTCAATTTATCCCCAAACCTCATACCTTCTGTGGTAGGGGAAGGAGTTCTCTGTAAAATGGGAGTTGTCATAACTACCTGCTGACAAGAGCTGATGAGATAATTGTGGCTGCACCTTGTAGACTCTGGACAGCTGTAGGTACTTATTCTGTGGATCTATATTTAGTACCTGCTATCAGACATAATTTAACTGGGGATCAGTTAACACAATGGACAGAAATCCCTGTCCTTGTGGGGATTTCAGTGGGGGAGGATGGATGATGAATGGACAAATAGAGTGTCCATGGTGTCAAGGGCTCTGGAGGAAAATACATCAGAGCTGGGGGTTAGGAAGGACTGAGGGAAAGGGTTAGGAAGGACTGAGGGAAAGGGTGCTGCTATTATATAGAATGGCCAGAGAAGGTCTTTTAATAAGTGACAAAGTGCTGCTGGAGCTAGAGCTAAAGGAAGTGGGGAAGGAATCACAGGGTTATCTGGGGAAAGAGCATACCATGTAGGGGAGACTGTAGGTGCAAAGGTCCTGAGGTAGGTATGTGCTACAAAGAGTATCAGGGTTACTAATGAGGGGAGAACCAATTGCTGAAGTTTCAGGCATTTTTTTTTTTTTTTTTTTTTTTGGAGCAGAACAAGAAGTTTATTACTCTCACTCAGTAGTTGCTGGGAGCTTTGATGTTAAGTCATACATAATTTGAGAAATACCAGGAATCTTCTTAATCTCAGTGACCGTCTTTAACACCACCTCTACAGGGATCTCATTGCCAAGGGTTGCAGGTACACCAGTCATGAAATCACTAGTAATAAAGGTTCCAATAACCATGGCTCTCTGGCATGAAGGATGCTTCTGAAGTGGGTCCCGATCAAAACGTAAAGGTGTCAGAATCACCGGCATCTGGCTGATTTTCCCAGCACACCCAGACTCCCTGAGAACGTTATGGGCCTCAAAATCAGCTTGGCGTAAAGTACTGAGCACCCCTGTTGTCAAGAAAGTGGGGGTAACGTCTGTAGGAGGTTCTTTAACTGGTGGGCCAAATATATAGACAACTCTGTTAATGTTGTGACACAGGCGAGGTATAAGTCTAGCCAGGAAAATTGGAGATTCCCAGTCAGGCTCATCCTTACTGGAGATTCCACACCCATAACTGGAAGAACGACAGTCACCCTGCACACCCACAGTTTTAACTGGTAGCGGGAAGGCATTCGGTGAATGCAGACTTGTAATTTGCACCAGCTTCTCCTGAGCCTCTTCAGTTGTGCAGGCTTTGACTCTCTGTAATAGTGTATGTGGCTTTATAACGCTTGCAGAAAAATCAGCTACTATTTTCAAAATATTGTTGGTTTCAGGAAAATCCTTACAAATATAAGGTTCCTCAGCACATATTACTCTGATTGCCAGGCTCGGACCTGGGAATGGATGCCTGGAAACGAACTCTTCCGGAAGTCCAAATTCTCTGCCTAAGATCCTTACTTCGTCTTGATGAAAATCTTTCAGAGGTTCTATGACTTTTCCCTCCTCTCTCAACTTTCTGATAAGCTCTGTGTCATTATAATGGTTTTTTTTATTTTTATTTTTTTGTGACTTAAAACATTTTATTTTATTTATTTATTTTTATTTTTAAAACATCTTTATTGGGGTATAATTGCTTTACAATGGTGTGTTAGTTTCTGCTTTATAACAAAGTGAATCAGTTATACATATGTTCCCATATCTCCTCCCTCTTGCGTCTCCCTCCTTCCCACCCTCCCTATCCCACCCCTCCAGGCGGTCACAAAGCACCGAGCTGATCTCCCTGTGCTATGCGGCTGCTTCCCACTAGCTATCTACCTTACGTTTGGTAGTGTATATAATGGGTTTTGATGAGTTCAGCTTTGCCACTTGCAACAAGGGATGCACTTTCAATTAGATCAGGCCATAAAGTACCTTGGGCAAGGAAAACCTCCTCTGGTTTCAGGTGCATTTCTCCAATTACTTCATTGGCAATCTTGACAAAAGGATCCCCAATGATTTTTCCTTTCTCCTCGGGACTCGTAGTCATTTTAAGGTTTTGCTAATTCTCTTTCGTGGAGCTCTGTCTTCATCTGATATTGGTAGAGCTGTTTGTTCCATTGTAGAAAGAATGAGCGGCATTTATCACTTTAACTTGAATTCCAAGTTTTTTGAGGGCCTCTTCAACAGACCAACATTCTCGTTTTCTCATAAAGCCGTTAGCAATGTGCACAGCAATGACTTGACCTTGGTTTAAAGCACGATTCAACAAAGCTGTACAAACTGTTGAGTCCACTCCACCACTGAGCAAAACCAAAACTTTTGATGTGCCGACTCTCTCTTTGATCTCTTGAGTGCACTCAAGTTCTCTGTTCTGCACAGTGAAGGTCCCGCTGCACCCAGCTATGTCGAAGAGGAAATTCTTCAGTATTACTTTCGCATTTTCTGTAAGGCCAACTTCAGGGTGGAACTGGACTCCATATAATTTTCTAGATCCATTTGCTCTACCTGTTAGTGTTGGAGGGTCTCCTGCAGAGGCGGGGGGTGGCTGTGGCTCACCGTGGGGACAAGGACACGGGCAGCAGAAGTTGTGGGAAGTACTTCTTGGCTTGAGTCTGCCGTTAGCCCCACCAAAGAGCTGGGTAGGCTCCAGTGCTGGGTCACCTCAGGCCAAACAACCAACCGTTTTAGGCATCCTGACAGCTACTTTTTCGACACAACCGTGATTTAAAATTATATTAAATTATTATATCAAAAAGAAATACATGTTTGCAACCTATTCCTTTGTAATTATTTAGCTACATTCTAATTCTGTGTATTTTACTGTGATCCATGCGCTTCAGGTAATTTACATCTATTGTAGGCATATAGTGATATTGCCGTGTAATAGAGGGAACTGCCCATCCATTCTCAACTCCGTATTCAGTGACGTCATGTCAGGAGCCTGAAGCCCGCCATGCTGGGAGTATTTACACCTTGGCAGTTGGCAGACACTGTGAATCACAGTTGCGCCTCTCCTCCTCCCAAGAGCGGATTGTGACCATTTTCCAACCTACCAAGGCTGCAGCTCCCTGCAGGGCAGATCTGAGGCAGGAGCTCCCTTTCCAGTCTGCTCTCAGATGGTCCCCGAGTCTGGAGGAGGAGATGGAGGTGGTGCTGAGGAAAATCTCAGGGTGTGGTAGAGGCAGTCAGGGTGAGCTGGGCAGGACCTCCAGCCCCACCCCGTCCCTGGGCCCCCATAGTACTCCTGGAGCTGCCCCGACTGCATTATTGTCTCTCAATCCCCACTTCCCTAGCGGACTGCAGCCAATTCCTGATTCGCACACTGCAGTTCAGGAGGCATTCCAAGCTCCTTTGAGTGCCCAGCCTTGAGCACGCAGTCCCTAGGGATAATGATAATGACAGCAATTTACAGTCATTGCTTTTAAAATTCTCTCAACAACCCTAATCAGGTAGACATGGTTATCTTCCTCATCTCATGGAAGGGGCATCTGAAGCACGGAGAGATTCAGTAACTTGTGCAAAGTTGCACAGCTGTTACCAAGTCCAAACTTGTACTGCTCGCCGCATGACAGGGCAATCAACTGAGAAACGAGTTGTTGGGACAAGGAATAGTGATTTTATTCAGAAAGCCAGCAAATGGAGAAGATGGTGGACTAGCTTTGCAGAGAACCATCTTACCCTCGTTAGAATTCAGACTTCTCTTATAGTAAAAGAGGAGGGGGTGTTATTGATCGCTGCAGCCCTCTTGGTGTCAGAATCCTTTGTCCTTGCAGCTGTCCCTGTATGTCCAGTCACGATGTTCCTATAAACCTCGAACAAAACAAATGTTATTGTCTGTTCCGCAACTTTGTATCTCTATATGAATGGAACAGTGTTACACCTTTAAAGGTCAGAGCCTTGAGAATGGGCTATCCTGTATATTTCAAGCTACAGGCAACATTCTTATCTTGTAGCAAAAGCAATGGAATGCAAAGGTGAAAGTAAAAGAAACAGACCCAATATGGAGTCAGATTTGTCCTTCCCTATTACACAGCTAGTAAGTAGCAGTCTTAAGTCGAGCCCAGGCCACTGGCTCCAGAGTCTACACTGTTTGCCATGAAGCAACTCTATGACATGAGAGGTAAGGGCCCTAAGCTCGGGGAGCTTATGCTGGGGTGGGGAGATCAGGAATATCTGGGCCTCAAGAGAGACAGATGGCATTTTGCCAGGAAAAGATGGCGATCAGAAGAGGGCATCCCAGGTGGAGGTAACAGACAGTGCAAAGGTCCAGAGTGTGGGGGAGAAAGGGCTGTTCAGGGAAGAGGGAACGGCCCCAGCTGCCTGTCACTTCGAGGGCCTCACCCACCCTGGAGAAGCCTGCCTTTGGGGCTTCAAAATGACAGCCTTCCAAAAATAACTTATCTTCAGCTTTCTCTCTGTCTTTGCTCAGTGATGCACATGTTCCTCAAGGTGGTAGTAAAGTAGATTAGTTCCATAACACAGAGACTGGGGAAATTGTGTGTGCGTGTGCATGCTGGGGCAGGAGGTGGCAGGGAGGAGACCTGGTAGAGTGAATGTGGCATCTGGCTTGGGATTAAGCATTTTCCTCAAGTCTGTTCATTACCTGCCTTGAGCAAAGCCAACTGGTAGAGGCTGGTGAGGGCAGGGCAGGAGGGGCGACTGCTGTGCCTGGTTGTTCTCGACGCTCTCTCTGAGTAGCTCAGAATTTGCTGTCCTGGTCACTCTCAGGAGGTTAATGAGACAGTGAACATCTCTGGGTCAACTGTTACGTTATCCAGCATCCTTTGTGAGAGCCATCCATGCAGTCAATCCCTCCTGGAAGGACAGGCTTCTCTTTCTGAACTCTGAGCAGAGACCACCCTCTTTGCAGGAGAAATTTCATCTTTCCAGATGAGTCTGTTGGCCTCTTTTTATCTGCTCCGGTGAACTATATAACCTAAGCATCCATATCTAAGGGATTGCATCCTGTAAATTTAACGCTGCTCTGTGTAATGAGTTCCAGAAAACAGAGAAGCCCCAGTGGAAATTTCCATTGAGGTTCAGCATAACCATTCTTCCCGGAAAAATACTCTTGGACAAGGTAATAGAAATCCTTGTTTGCCTGGAATCTTAAAGAGAAGAGTGCTGGTGGGAGGAGCCCAGGGACTCTTGTTTCTCCAGAAGTTTCCAGAGGTTTGGAAGACCTTGCGGTCACTGACTGTTCTGGCAATAAGCACGGCATCTGCAGAACTGAGGATTCATGGTTGAGAGACGCATGAACTCAAGCCCGCGCCCTTTTGAGCACAGCAGAGGAGGAGTTAGGAATAAGCACCACTGCGTCCAGGGTGGACTGGTGGTGAACACATGGGGTGCATGTGTCCAGAGGCTGAGTGTGGAGGGACTCCCTGCCTGCGGGGGTTATTGGTTCTGGATCTAAGAGGTCAGCAAATCTCCCCCAAATGAGAGCTCTTAACTACAATGTATTTTCCCTTTTGCCTGGGCTACCAGGACATTCACAGGGAAAATTAGTGTTCAGCTGGTGACTAGACATTTCAGGTACGTGACATATCTATTAGTGGAAGCTTTGGGTCCTTGTTAAAATTGTGCTGGGGGAGAAAAAAGAATGGAGGCAACATACAACACTAAAATAGAAGTGTTTTTTCAGAATTAATCTTTAGCCTCAAAGAGTGACTCTTCGTGAGGCCCTGGAGAGGAGAGGGTGGGGAACCACACAGTCAGTCAAGGGAGTCTTTGCACCCCTCTGCCTGGTGTGTGGTGTTCCTCTGCTTCCCTCATGCTAATCCTCGCACGGCACCTCTAATAAGCCCGTACCCCAAACAGTTCTAGCCCCTCCACGTTCTCCAGGCTGTCTCCTATCCAAGCCCATTCATTTGTTCATCCATCAGTCCATCGATCTATCCACCCCCCACCCCCCTCCACTCTCAGCAAACACTGAGCACTCTTCCTCTGTCCCAGGACAGGGCTATGCATTGACTAAGAATTGGGATCTGCCTTTCAGTAGCCTTTGCATCCAGTAAGGGAGAAGATTTACCAATGGGTAAGTTCAAGAGATGTTAGGACAGTGGAACAATAGTTAATTTAGGGTTCAGAGAAGAGGGAGCATGGACTTTGGGACCAGGCTGTCTGGGTTTGGAATCCTGGCTTCATCACTTATTAGCTGTGTGACCATGGGCAAATTACTTAACGTCTCTGTGTCTCAGTTTTCTCAGCTGTCAAACGGTATTCCATTGGACCTGCCTCAGAAGGTTGTCCCGGTTATCCACCGCTGCCTAACAAAGTACTCGTGCCATTTTATTATACCTCATGGTTTTGTGGTCAGTTACTCAGGCAGTTGGCTGCTTGGTGCTTTTGCCCCACGTGGCATCAGCTGAGGTCACTCAATGGTACTTCAGCTGGAAGGTCCCAGATGGCTTCACTCACGTGTCTGGCACCTCGGCCAGGATGGCTGAAAGGCTGGGTCCAGCTGGGACTGTCCACTAAAGCACGTGAATGTGGTCCCTCCAGCATGGCAGTCTTGGACTAGTCAGACTCTTTCCGTGGAGGCCCAGGGCTGCCAAAGAGAGTACACCAAGAGATGGAGGTGGAACTGCTAGTGTCTTCAGGTCTGCCCTAGAAACTGGCACAGTATCACTTCCACCACATTGTACTCATCACGTGGACCCCGGGCCTGCCCAGGTTCAAAGTGAGAAGACTGAGACTCAAACTCTCCAGTGGGAAGAGCGGAAAGGATTTGTGGCCATTCTTAAAGCATCACAGTTACCCGAAGATGAAATGAGTTAATATGCGGAAGCAGCTAGAGCCGTGACTGACAGCGAAAGGGACATACAAGTGTTTGTCGTTGTTGCTTTAATTACTGCCCTTGCGCTGAGTCTTAATAGATGAGTCTGTGCTCTCTTGACAGACAGCCATGGGGAGCTGGGGAACGGTGGGTTTCAGATGGATGGTGTTATTAGCACGTAGTCGTGTTTCGTGGGCAATCTTGTGAGAGTCCTGGTCTTTGCTAATTCGAAGTAGATGATCAGACCTACTGATATATGCAAAACATGTAAGTGACT